ATCGACGCCAATCACTTCAATCACGTGATGAAATACATAGAGGTTGGCGTGAAAGAGGGCGCACACCTGTTGGCGGGCGGCAAACGGTCCCGCACTAAGGGCTTCTACATCGAGCCCACAGTGTATGACAATTATCATATGATTATCTTATGGTAGATTCACTGATAATTCCCATCACTTCAGGTTCGCCGACGTGTCCGACACCATGACTATCGCCAAAGACGAGATCTACGGACCAGTTATGGTGATCATGAAGTTCCGTACGTTGGATGAGGTGATTCATCGCTGCAATGATACACACTATGGTCTGGCGTCGGGTATATTCACCCACGATATCAATAAAGCCATGCATTTCTCGCACCGCATGCGAAAGGGCAACGTCTGGGTCAACACATACACCGCTATAACACCGCAGACCCCATACGGCGGTTGGAAACACTCGGGCGTCGGCTGCGAAGGCGGTCAGGACGGCCTCTATGAGTATCTCGAAGTGAAAACAGTATGATTACTTTGATTGTTTTTTGTTCATGGTAGTTTTTTGTGTTTTAATTGTGTTTTTGTTGCGTTAGATTGCGATCCGAAACGAACACAAAATGTCCTAAACTCGTGGCCTATACTCCCGGTTGACTGATTAAGACAAATGCAACTGAAATATATGTTAATCCCTACCTATTAATCTTTTACTATTAGTTTTAGTTTATATATTACTATTATAACCACAAATTCGGGCGCAATTATGAAACAACTTTTATATTTTATAATAACTCTTATGACTTTCCCACCGACGACTGAACTCATATATAATCCTTTACTTCAATAATAATATGATTTTTGTGTAACTTTTATGATAATTAATATNAATAATATGATTTTTGTGTAACTTTTATGATAATTAATATGCTTTTAATAAAAATGAATTAGCAATGAATACATGTTTTATATTTTTTAAACAAGTAATGAAATAGACTTTTGATTACAATTCATAAAAAATACTTTAAATGAGCTAACAATCAAACCATTGATAATACAAACAATTATCTTATTTGATCACAACATATGATTTTTAATCAGTAATACAGTTCTTAGCCGTAGACTCCAGTGTTAAAACTTATTCATAGGTTTTGATAGCATTTAATATAAAAACCACAAACAATTAATGTTTTTGATAAGTTAAAATACATTTTTAATGCTTAAGTTTAATGTCATAAATGAGTTTTAACATTGAAGTCTACGACTAAGAACTGTATTACTGATTAAAAATCATATGGCACCTATTGGTGTCCAATAATTACTGGACTGGTGTTGCTATTCATTGACTGGTCAGTAACTGGTTTTGACACAATAAGAATGAGTATAATTAACATTTTAATGTTTAATTCTAAAAATTATATACAATTAATTAACAAATGGTTTTTAATATATAAATTAATAGACGTTTAGTGTTAATAAAAAATAACTCATTATTTATGACCCTATTGTGCGCTCATAATGCGGCGGACCTTTGCCTCGATGTCAGCCTCGGTATTGATATTCTGATCGGACTTCTGATTGGATCCCTGTCTGGCCGTCACTGTTGTGTCCGATTTAGACTCAATTCTCGAACCGGGTTTGGGCTCTGTTTTAGAGCTCGATTTGGACTCTGTTTTAGACACCACTTTGGACTCGAGTTGCGATCCCGACTCCGACCCCGTTTTGGACACGTTTTTGGCCAATTTAGTCGACTTTTTGCGCCCATCCTTTGGACTCGGCTTTTGTTTGGCAACACTTTTGTTAGACATATCACTCCTGCGGTCCTGATCTTTGGTTTCGGTGCTCTCGTTCGCGGCCTTTGACCGCCGCTTACCAAACGGTGTGTCCCTATCGTTGGCCTGTCTTTGACTGTCACTGTCTTTGGACTTAACTAACACTTTGTCGTCGAGAGTGGACGCGTATAAACCGTATATGAATTTGGCGTCCGGATTATCCCTATCCCTGTAATCCTCTGTATTCTGTCGCGCGATGCCATCATCACTGGCCGTCTTCGGGACACCCAATGGCCGCCTATTCGTCACATTCTGTCCGT